AATCCGCCAGAATCTACTAGGATACATAGAATCCGCCAGAATCTATGAGGAGCCGCGAGAATCCAAGGATCCAGGAGCCGCTTTTTCCCCCTTGATCTGCAGAGTACTTTGCTACGAAACTAAAAATTAAACTAATAAAAACACAACTTGTAACTGTGATAAATGATGCATTTGTGTTTAGCTCTTTCACAAATGTTTCTCAAGATAGTTACAATATGCGTTGCTTGCTTATCCATGATCAGTGTTGTGCACGGTCAAATCATGACCACATCAACATTGAATCAATCTAAAGGGCGGGTATTTGTTTCAAGTACTGGAAAGAATTTATTTGCAACCAATCAAGCACAGGGGTGCCATCGTATCGGTAACATCATGTGAAAAATTATCACATGCCAGCAAGGAAAAATCAAAAAATTTTGCAAGATGAATGCTCTGTTCTGTTCTATTTTAATCAATACATAATCACATAGCTAGAATAAAAGCAGAAAAATAAGCATTTTGATCAACTACTCACACGTAACCAGAGGAAATTCTTTCGTTGAAGCGAATATCATACTGAACAGTGGGTATGGGTTGGCAGTATATAAAGGAGCCATGATATAGATATTTCATCTGTGCAAAATGTATATGAATTGATTAAAAACAGATTATTGTATTCTATGGCAACTGGTCTTTATTTTTATCTCGTAAGAATATTATCTGAATTGACAGAAGGCAATATAATATTGAAGCACTTGATTCTAATTCGATCATTCCAGCCATTTTGGTAGGAATCTGGGGGGAAAATTGTTCCATCATGGAAAATGTCTTTAATGGCAAAACAAATTAGATCATTCAATTCCTAAACTCAAAATTTATATTTTCGTATATATATTATTATTGTGAGGTGTAATCTTCATTGAGTTTTTCTGGTAGTAACTCTCCTTTGTAGGCAGAGTACTAATTGTATCTGTACTTATGCAGTCCTCTGCAAACCATTCTAAAAAATAATCCCTTTCGTTGTTTCACTACACAAAATGCATTGTCAGTCACTATGACGAAGTAATAACAAATCAGAAAGTATTATGCAGATCAGTGAGAAAAGCAATTAAATACCTTTTTTCACTTTGTCATAGGGTAACACGATATCCATTTTGTAGTCAGATACATCAGTTTTTTTCGAAAGCATGAATCAATAGAAATGAAAAAGCAGTTAATCCTTTCGTTTGGTCAGTAGCAAAGGTAGTATCGATTTAATATATTGTTAAAAAGGGGGCTATAAAAGGTACACATCTCACTATTGATGAAATACCATTACAAAGTGATATGTTTCGTTCATTTATTTTGTTAATCTTCTTAAGTGCAGCCATTGGATGGAGTGATGGTGAGTTGATTCATGTAATATCAGTAACTCTTACTCGTTGATTCATTTTAGGCACAAGTCCAAATTGGCTCGGTAAATTCAACGTCAGTCCTTTATGTGATCAACAAGTTTGTTGTTGTCTTACTGGAGAAGTACAAGTAAAAGAATTTGGCTATTTTTTCATGGCGTTATCTGGCAAATTAGCTGGCCAATGTAGCGGACTTTCGACATTTTGGTTACCCGTTATGAAGCCGTCTACTTACACAACTAAATTGCCGATTATTGGTGTACTGAACTTAAATGAAGATAGTACAACATTAACAGCAGAATCACCATTAGGTTCACAATGTAATGGTCGGGCTGTTCGAGAACAATAGCAAGAACATGAGAGAACCATACATCATAGATTTTAACAGAATGAATATTTACGCATTGTCTTTTCTATATGAATAAATGAAGGTGACCGTTTAATTTTTCTTCTTATAGACGATGATATTATTCGACTCATAATCGGCAGAGTTCTGAGTCGATGTAGCAGAAAGCGATTTTCGATGTGTTTATTAAGAAATAACATAAAAAAGGAGAATACAATTCTTCAATTCATTCTTGAGCAGAAGAAACGAACAGTAACATCTCCTTTCAATCTTTCGATGAATTTTGTTGACCACGCTGAATTGAACACTGTCGTTTTCAAACTGGTCAAAAATTAGCGATGGACAGCCCAAGTTGGATATTCGAACTTAACGTACACTGTCAACTGAGCTTGAGTACCATTCGGGAGAGCTGATTACTCCTATAATAATAAATTGAGTGGTTGAATGAGAGACTTTGATATATCACTAGAAACTTTCGACAAACATTTAATGCTCGAATATATGGATTCATGGTGGGTGAGCGAGTGAAAGAATCCAAGGGCTATACACTCACACACACCACAATGGAATTAAAACAAATAGAAGACCCCACGATGGGAATAACGTAATGCAAATTAACATAATGGAAGAGTCGGCATCTTCTATTGAAAGAAGGGAAGAGTTTCTGAGAGTGATAATATTGGCTCAAAAATATCAATTTGATCAAGATTGAGGCTCTTTGCCCTAGCTAAGCAACCATTAATTTAACAGTTTTATTGGGAACCTGATTTTCACAAATTTCAATGAAAAACATCTTATCCAATATCGATATGACACCTGAAAATAAAACTACCTATTGAATGGTATCATGCAATAGTGAATACGCTTCTTAGTAGGACTAGAAACGCACTGCAATTTCTAACATCATCGTTGAGATAAGTGAAAATAGTAAACGTGTGAACAGTCTACGGTGATCACCATAATTTCTTCATAGGCTAACTAGTTTCAACGCTAGCATAGCCGTTGTATTCCTAGTTGTGCCATATGCGATAACTCGGTAACTCGTGAGAGTTCTATGTACCACACTATTTTATTTTCACAGTTGATCTACTGCTGCTGGCAGATCGGTACTGGTACCAGTCGCCAAAAAATGAGGCCTCTTCCATCTATGAGTTTGATGACCCCCTTGAAAATATTTGGCAGAAGAACATCCTTTTATAAGCTGTTTCAAATCACAAGACATTGACCGACAAAATTGGACTAAAATGATTATGCAACCATTATTTCATCTAGAATGTGTAAATAGCGGCTACGCATATTTTGTTGAGAAAAAAAATTGTCTAATGATATTATAGTAATAAAAACAAATAAGAGCCTATGTCAACCAGAGACCGAAACCGATGACAAAAGTGCCATTCGATTCGATTCGGCTTTTTAGGACTTTGATTCGATTCGATTCGATTGGACTCAAATTGGGTTTACAAAATATGGTATTCACTATTACAGAGTATTGTTGTTTTCAGGCTGTCATCGTCTTAGAATGAGAATAGTCTGTCGATCTTCTATAGAAATATGTTGAATAAATATAATTTATGAAGATATACATAAGAATTATTCATTTTTTTCAAGAAAGAACACATAACATATAAATTAATGAACACATCTAAGTAGACTAATTAAATAAGTTTATTTTCTATAGAACGAAGAAAAATACTATCATTTACTGTATATGGATCTATATTTACAGTTGACCGTAGCCATACTTAATAAATAAAGAGATTGATATCAAGACTCCAATCACACTGGAAATGTGAATAAAGTTAAAGTCTTATTCAGTAATCTGGTTGATAGATGAAGAGTTAAAATCACCTCTAAAGTATTACTTAACTCTTAATGCACCAGTCACATGGCTTAATTCAACTATAATGTTAATTTACTTCTCAATGTGATTGGGGCCTAAATCGACTAACGAGAAAAGGAAGAAAGATGGAACGAACACTCGTTGTAAGTAAGCATTTCTTATGCTAATCAAAATGCACTTGACCATGATAACGATATGAACAGAACAAGGATGACCATTAAATAAGCACGACTGACAGAAACAAAGAAGGAGAAACAGTGGACGTCCTTTTTCATGTGTCATCTCTTATACTAGTCAACTGCCCTCGACCGTAACACCAGAACAAAGAAAATGATTTTGAATAGCCGAATGAAACTGAAAAAAATGAATCGATTCGATTCGACCTCTTTTCTAGAAGTATCATTTGATTCGATTCGGCTTTTTTTCAATTTTTTTTATTCATTTGATTCGATTCGGCAGTTTCGAAGTTCCATTCGGAGTCGATTCGATTTCGGTCTCTGATACGAGCTAAGAAAATAGTTAAATGTGATCAACGTCAAACATAGTGACGGGGTGTGGGTGTGGGGTTTGGGGTGTTGTTCTGGCTGTGGTGGTGGGTATGAATCGGTTGAAAAACAACTGCACTCATATTCACACAGCAATGGCAAAGTTCCGAGAATATGTCACTTTTCCTACCCAAAGTCCCGTGGACAGGTGCCGCCACCAGTAAGGTCCTATGGCGAGACTAGGTTGAGGGTGAAGGACTTTTCACAGGACTTTAGGTAAAGTGGACATTTTCTGGATCTTTGCCAGCCCTCTGATACGGGTGAGGGAGCGAATTTCTACTCCTAAATACTTCAACTCTCATTTCACACCAGGTTTCAAAAATGGGACCATTAAACTCATGATAATTCGTCGCATGATAATACGCATTCGATGATCCGCCACATGTAGAATTCGTTGCGTCACAATTCCTCGCATCCATAATTCATCTTAAAACAAAATTGAGTGCTTTAAAATATGCCTTTAAACGTGCAGCGCTGCCTTCACTAAAACCAAATCCACACCCACCCTAAAGTTCATATATTAGGTAATGACGTTGCAGTATTGAATTCCGATATTTCCTTTCTATGTTGACTACAATTTACGAATATGACTTCGTTCTAGAATTTAAAGAGAGGGTCTGTTGTTAGTTTGAAATGGGAGACAAGATACACCCACACTAACACCACAAACCAAAGCCCACATGTTGTTGGCCAATCTCAAGACGAGTGAAGAAAAAACCCATGATGTGTTCGCTGTCTTACACGCTTGTTTCAATATTAGCTGCAGTCATACATTTCTCTTAGAGGCATATCAGATAAATATGTCGTAAAGAAAGGGTGAAAACCTTTTTGCGTTGGTGTTTATTCGCCCGTTTGCACAACGCGATAGCAAGCAATTCATGGCTCAGTGATGATATATAAAAGGTAGAGTACCGTTGCTTCAATTTTCAGTAAGCATCGAGTAGTTTCTCGGTGTGCCGTTGTAAGAAGTGAAAAGTTACTGGTTACAGCCACAGAGGGATTTCGGGTATTACTGTCACAAATCGAATGCTTTCGTCGTAGTTTCTCGGGTTTTCTAGCCTGAGAACTTTCCGGCTTTTGGATGTGTCGCACTGACAAAGCAACTCAGCCCTCACTCTTCATTATGAGAGTACTCGTGAGAATGGGGCGCAGATTCGATTGCCACCGATATGATCAACGTGATGATATTGGTTTCGTTTGCTAATTAATGACGAGCCACGTTCACTTTTTCGTTCGGTGGCAATTGTGAAACAACGTCCCCAAAAGTCGAATGGTGTCGTATTACAAAACTTACGATTCATTGATCTATCGTAGAAATTAACATGCACTCATATTCCGACCTAGAACATCGATCTGTGTATGGATGTGCAGAATGGACGTGGTTGTCAGTGTGGATCTGATGTATCGCAATGCGTGCATCTAGTATCCCATTTTCAATTAACGACCACCCACACCCACACCCACACCCTCTTACATTTGGAACTAACATAAATCATTTCGGTAGAGGGCTAGGGACAGTCACGTCGTCCTACTTGTAAATTCTGTGTTCTAGGTAATTAATAGCTTTTTCTTTTGGCGTGTTTAGAGCACCTCCATATGAATACTTCAAAGGAATCAACTGTCCAACTTCTTAAGTGTTCATTCTGTGGTAGTCCTATGGGTTTTCTTCAGCCTAGCGGTTGGATTTGTGGCACTGGTTTTGATCCTGATCATGGAGTTAACAGTTTGAATCCTAACGTGTGCCACAAGTGTACCCATGAACCGCATATTTTTCGTCCTGGAGTCAAGTAAAATTCAAAACAGATTAACTTATCTGCGGACTAAAAGAAAAATGAATCCACTAGTTCTCAACTTTTACTTTTCAGAAACCGATATATGTCGTACTAATATATTATTATTGCAGCCTACATGTATTTCTTGTGCTAAAAACAGTAAGAAATAAACCAATAAATGACAAAAAGTCTATCTACATCTTTACAAAATATAAATAAGTTTGCAAATTTAAGGGCGAGTGTGCGGGTATGAGGGTGTGTGAAGCTACCACGAGACCTTTAGGTATTTCGGGTGTGGCTGTGGATGTGACGATCCAAAGAAGCATAGTCATACCCTTATTCACATCCACACCCACACCCCACGCCCCACCACGCCCTCAAGAATTCCGGGATGAATTTCTCCAATATCCAAATTGTGTTGGGATAGTTGCAACAAAATAATGATTTTCATATTTTCATTCCATGCGTTAACGTTAATAGATGATACTCAATGACAATAAGCAGTCATTTCTCTGTTTTCTACTTCCTTAATCTTGTAACTTGATTGGTTTAGTTAATCTCTCAGTTATGTAGCGAGAAGTGAATGCAGATTATCTCGATCATTTTTTCGCGATTATGATTAATCGAGTTCGTTTTCAATATCGCGATAAAATCTGATTTTATCGGCAATTGCTCAACCTTATTTGATTAATCACGATTTTACGTTCCTTTTTTGATAAATCACCAAAATTGCGGCGATTTTCACGCCATAGGATTATACAGTTTTCCAGAAAATTGTACACGCTGCTTCTTTTGTCGAAGTGTACAGCACAGTGTACTTTCATAGCTGCAGATGTTTGCACATTTTACTTCTGCTGTGTACATTTGCCATTAGAAACACTGGCGAAAACTTTCACAGAAACAAAAAAAATGTGCCGCTGGCGGGAATCGAACCCGCATATCCAGAGTACTAATCTGAAAGCATATGGTGCAATTCGATATTGTTTGTTTATTGTGTAGTTTTGATTGTTTGCTGCTCGACAATCATTTTTACGTTTCTTTTCTACAGGGAGATTAAACATGCAGTAGCGACGTTTGGAGGCGAGGGTGTGGGTAAATTAATTAATTGAAAACAAACCAATCTATATTTCTAAATAATATAAATTAATCTGCTACTCTCAGTTTTTGCTTTTTACCAACCGATTAAGTCAGAATTAAATTAAAAATTATTTATATTGTGCTTTAATAAAATAAAATAAAATGATGCAGAGTTAATTTTTTCCGTCGACGCTTTTCGTGTTATATTTGTTTCGACATCAAAAACACTCTTCAGGACTCTGCATTACAAGAAAAAAGCACACAAAAAATACTATTTTAATTAAAAATGGGAGTAGAAGGAAAAAATAATGACTAAAATCTTTTTTAATAAAATTTAGGAGGAAATTGAAGTTTCAAAAGTTTTAAACAATTTTATTTGATGCTTTATTTTTATTTTTTTAAATTTTCAATGGTTGTTGGAAGCTAGTGCCATTTGGATATACATTTTTTACATTAGTTGGATTTTTTAGCTGATGGAAAAATTTGACCAAATTTTTCATTTTTAAAGGAAACTTTTCATAAGACTAAAATAAAATAAGAGATTTATTCCCAATAATGTCTATGTCATTGTTCATTTTGAACGAGTCGATGATGTATTATTTTCTATTTTTCATTGTAGAATTTTGTTTTTGGAAAAGTCGTTTTATTTGCTAGGAGTTTTTAAAGCATAATCCGTATTGAAATTAATATTAAATATCAATTTTAAGAAAATTATTGATTATTCTAATATTCATGTATTTGGATAGTAACTATCTATATACAAGTAACGTTCGTCGCTTCGACTCACTTAGCCCTCGACTGTATAGGGCAAAAGAATTTTTTGTAAGTACTGATAGGGACAGAATCCATCGATCAATTATATCTGTGAAAAGTCAATAGGATTTTTTAGATTAAAAATTTTATTTGAACGACAGAACTTAAGTATAATTGATTTATTAGCAATAATAAATGTGTAAATGAGTAGAAATAGCAGAATATTTAATGAACATCATTCCATTATCCACTTAAAGAATGAAGAAAACATCAAATTACTGTACAATGTGCCCTAATAATACAGCAAGAGCAAGAGTAACTATGAAATAACTAGAATATAGAGTGAAACATATAAACAAAAAAAGAGAAAAGAGATATGTTACAAAAATTACCATAAGAAAAACAAAAACTCTTGAGGGTGTGGGTGCGGCTGCAACTGTGACGATCCAAAGAAGCATAGGCATACCCCTATTCACACCCACACCCATTTGCGATACATGACAGAGTGAAACAGAGTAGAAGATTGCGTTTTTCTACAGACAACTGAGCAAATATTCGCTGGAATTAGAGACCTGTGGGACAAACTTTCGCCTGTCCCGAATCCCGCTTGTCCCATCCTGAAAATCTTTCGGGACAGTCCCGTTTGTCACACGGGGCGGGAAAAGCGGAATTGTTCGGGATTCGGGACTGTCCCGCAGGACTCTAGCTGGAATAATTATTTCTCGCATCTCATTTTGTTTCATGACTTAAGAGACAAATTGGTTAATGCTGCGCAAACACATAATTTACATACATAAACCATCGATGTACAATTGAGTTAATCCTATCGGGCAAAATATCGTAATTTGAAGAAATCGCGAAGTAGCTTGAAGTGCATTTTTATGATTTAAATGATGCGTAAGTAACGAGAAAAAAAGAAAATCATTTCATCTTTCAGTTTACATAATTACTATATAAATCATATACCGTCTCGATGAAAACTATGAACACATATTGAAAAAGAAATATATCGTATTTTTCATGGCAATGGCTCTTTCTAATTATTGGATTGTTTTTCAAACACTTCTTTTACTTTCAACGCTTTACAGATATGAAGGTAAGAACATTTTTCTATGATAGAAGAATATATAAAGATCTCAAGTATACCGACATGTAACTAAATTTTTTGAATGGAATAATTGTATTTGTTCATGATTCTGCGGCATGTATGTGATTTTATATTAGTTAGAGGTTCAACTTCGAAGTTACCATTTTTCAAAAAATATCTGTAGAATTTGATGAAAAAATTAGGTACACAGCACTAAATTATGCTTATGGTATGAAGCTTACTACACAGATATTTGACAAGCTTATAGAAATTGGCAAGCCTTCTAATAGACTCATATGTGCTTCAACAAGAATAATAAAGAGAACAGAGCTCGATAAAATCTTTAAATGTTCACGGATAATTATATTAATATTTGCCGAAGTGTACTGCGAAGTGTCAGAGTCATTCTCATGAGAACAGTTATCTTATGGCCCATTAATCTAGATCAGAATCGAACGTTTTAAATCAATTAAACAAGTTTGTTACTCTGTGGTGTAATCTTTTGTTTGATAACATTATTACTAATTTTTTGTTTCCAGCAAACTGTACAGCCTTGGAAAATACTGCAAATGGTATAGATTTAACTGGCACATGGAAATGCAACGATGGTGGATTATATTATATCCGACAACTGAGTAATACAGTGTGGTGGTCTGGTGTACAGCAAGTTCCATCTGGATACAGCGTAGGATTTTCGAATGTTCTTTATGGAACGATTCAGTCTTCAATAATTAACGCGCAATGGTGTGATGTTCCATTTGGGCGAAATCGCTTGAATGGTTCTATTGCAGTAGAGATCATTAGTGCCACTGAATTAAGAAAAAAATCTTTCACAGGAGGATTCGGTGGTTCAATATGGAACAAACAATAATTATGTAAGGTGTGGGTGTCGTCTCTATGAATCCGTTTTTCAAACCGACACGCATTCTTTTCGAAATAAATTACAATCATTGAAACTTTGTTGTGCTTGAGGGTGTGGGTGTGGGTGTGGGTGGGTGCGAGTGTGCGAGCGGCTGGGCAGAATATCAACACTCACGCCCACACCTGTTAGCGTTAGTGATGAAACATACTAACGCTAAACGAGGATTAAGATGTTCTTCTAGTCCAACTGGTTAGGACGTCTGCCCGGATAACGGAAGATGTGGGTTCAATCCCCGCGAAGATCAATTTTTCTTCGTTCTGTCGCATAACATCAGTGACACACTGCTTGTCTCTTTCGCTCTGTATATATCTCTTTATCTCCTTACATATCCCTTTTACTATATACTTATTAGAGCTTACAACACCCACACCCTTGCTGTTTCATATTGATAAATTTTATCAGAAAAGGTAGCATTGACAATCACGTATTGCTGTCAGGTTGATTATTGTCTCTACTTATTAATTCCTCAACTACGTTGACCTCTTGGCAATATCACGCGATCTATTAATTGCTGCTTGTTTGGTTCGTGTTGCAGCCAAATCCATAGGTCGTGGTAAACGAAATTGTGTTACGATTCCTGTACTTGAGGATGAAGCTTGGCTTGTAACAGGCTGTTTTTGTCCTGGAATGTCATTTGAAACACCTGTCTCTAGAGGAGTGTCAGCTGAATGGAGAGCTGGTGCTGTGGTGGAATTTAGCTGTGATGATTGTTGTAGGGCTGATATTGAGCAAGCAAAAGAAGTTGTTGAATCATTCACTATATAGATTGAAAGAAAAAGATGAAAACTTGTCTACAGTTGAAATTTGTTAATATAGTGATGAGAGAGTAAAAATCTAATAAATGAATGAAAATTAAAAAAAGTTGTGTAAAAACTCCAAAACATACGAATGAAGCACCCACTCGTTATGCAATGGCTCGATTGGGGTATTACGCAAAATTTTAAGTCAAACTATTTAGCAACTAAAAACTATTATTTATTCATGTGTTGTCCTTTATTTTATACAAATCTTTGTCTTATTGTTGCAGATGAAACTTTCATATTTTCATTGATATGTTTCATTATGTTAATATGCTATTATTAATTTAAAAAAATAGCAACATTCGATAACTTTAATAACATACTAGTCGGAATATTCAATACTTCATCATCAAAATAATTACCGTTCTCTTCATTAATTTGATTAGGTTTGACATTATTGAGTGCCACAGTAAGACTATCAACATCAAATTGTATAAATAGTTGATATTGTTGAGATTTCAACAATTTAGATAATTCATCATTAATAATAATGCCTGCTGGCACTTGAAATTTACGTAATGTTTTTTCATATAGGTCCCAAATAATGTTAAACTCTTCAAGAGACACTTGAAATTGAGTTATATCTGTTAAATCAAGAGATGTTGGTACACATTTTACCCATATATCGAATGCTCGTCGAGTTACATTGTGCTTAGCTGCTTTTCCACAATGTACAATCAATTGCTTATTCAACAGTAGTTGAATGGCGGCTTCGTGACAATTTGTTCTTTTTTCCCCACATAGTCACACTATGACTCAATTTGGTTTTCGTAAAAGCGATTTCATCATATAATAAAATAGATCGCGCTAGTTCTTTAATTGAGCTTTCGTTTGGTATTGATTGATGATGTTTATTGGCCGGTGGTACAGTTATAACTGCAGCTGCTTTTTCGGCGAGTTCGTTTTCGGTACTTTCAGTCGCTTGAAAATCATTTGTGTTTCTAAACGAAACAATATTAATATTAATATCTAGCATGTCTTGTTTTGATCAATCACTGAAAACAAAATTGAGAGAAAGAGATACTATCGATTATTGTTAGTGAAAGATAAAAAAAAAGGTATTTATTCGTATTAGACTTCTTAGGATTATAAAAGCAAACGTTTATTTGAAACAGTGAAGTTATTCAAGAATTTCATATATAGCAATTTTATTGTTCCTGCAGTTATGTGATTTTGGCGTTCTTCGAAACCATGTATTATAGAGAATATATCATTTAAGCATTATGATATCATAGAAAACCTCTGAAAAATATCATATTTTAGACTAGTGAAGTTACTTTATGTGCCAAAAATAAAAAATATCAAGAAACTGCAAACTCTTCATGGCCAATCATATAATAAATCAAACATCGTCCTATTCAGCAGTGAACATTAATCTTATCCAAGTTATGATCGCGAATAACAGCTCGTCTATCAAATTTGCACTGCCATTATTTTAATCTAATATCATAATAAAAATCATATACGTACAAAGAAATATTATCTTCTCCAAAAACGCGTAAGTATTGGCGAAGAAGGAGATTTAATAATCGGACAGCTGAATTTGCAATAGATAATCTTAGTTCCAGTCTGATTCTTGTTTGATCATTTGGTCGACCAAGGAAGTTATCAGCTATAAATTTCATTCGTTGTTGAAAAATCATATCATCCAGTCCGTGGTTTAAATCACCAAATGTATCTTTATATTGATCGATCAAGTCAAATGTTAATTGAACTAGTTGAAGATTGACTGCTATTTGATGTAAATGTTCACGTGATTTACCAAGACGAACAGTTATCCATTTATCATTTCTTTCATTTTTTATCACTAAAGCAAGCAGAAGAAAATAAGACTCAGGAGGTAAGGTTTATTTTAACAACTTCAGGGTATATTAGGATAGTAGTGCTTCTTGTTGATCCTAGGTAAAGAGCTATGTTTCATCAGCTTTAGTATACACTGATCGATGCACGTGAATTGTTTAAAGAGAACCTGAAGAACATGCTGCGAAAGTATTTTAGCAGGAAAGCGATTATAGTCTCCATAAAACCCTAACCCTGTTATTATCTTCAAAAAGTCTGCAATCTTGCTTGATTTTCACGAAGACAGAATTAAGATTGAAAAACTTTTGCTTTTTAAATAATGAATGTATTTGATTGAACTGATTGTAAATTTATGTTTTGAAGGTCCATGTTTATTAATAACCTTTTTTTCAACAAAAACAAATATATCCATGCAATTTTCTGTAAGGTAATCGATCTACATGCTTTTAGTATTTCTAATTTCAGGCTTTAACGAAAGAAAATGATTATATTCGAAACACTTACTCAGTTTACACATTAAATTGCCATATGCAATTGTCATTAAACGAGCAGATGTTTCATAATATAAGTCAAGATTATTAAGTTGACTAGCTGTAAAAGCAACTTGGCTGATTGTCGGCTGACGACCAAAGTCCCATGTTGGTGAAAATGGTTGCTCAAGTGTCAAGGGAATGGTTATGAAAAGAAAAGTGAACGTTCAGCGAATGGATTCGGAGCATCTCCCGATAGTTTTTTTTCAGCAAACGTAAAATGGGTTCTTCGGTTGTATTAGCCAAAACGGTGAGCTTTTTAAATGAAGATTCGATGTGAAATTGGTTAAACTTTTGCTTACAGTCGCGGAACCAGCATACAAAGTAAGTACTATTTCATAAATGTTATTATGTTCACTGGTTGACCCATCAGGAATTAATCCATTTCGCTTCAAGCAACTATCTGCCTCATCCAGTAGAGCTATTTTATCATTTTGATGCAATTATTTCAGTAATCCACCGCGAGAGATCTAAAAAGATAAATCGATATTATTTTGAAAAGAGTATGGAAATTCATAATTTTTTTCAAATTATAATATCTTGCAATAGTCTTTAAGGGTCATTAAATAGATACCACGCTAAAACTTACATAGACGGTGACACTAAAGATAGCGGATGAAATATCAACACAGCAGGGCATCTAACAAAGTCAATAGACCATTATAGGACTTTTGCTCAATGATTTAAGAGAAAAAAGTCTCAACTTACTTTCCAAAATGATTTTACTCCTCTGATTAAAAACATATTTTACAGATGTCGAAAGATGCATAAATCACTATATGAGTTCGACTGCTTGCAATTTAACGCTTAATTTTCTTCATCATAATAATTATCAATACACGACCGCTAAACGAGAAAATAATCATTAAAATCGAATACAACAGAAATAAATAGTAATGATAAGTAAAAATTTTAATCTAACTGAGATATATATGTTAGATGTAGAGAGACTTAAAGCAATCGACACAAAGCAGAAACAGGCTATTTAGTTAATTTTATTGGACTCTCAAAGACTAATAAATATTCATCACATTACCAGAAATGACTAAACAAAAGGTACGCGCGATTGCTCTTATCTTACAAATGACAAGTAACAGAATTATCCTATTGATAATGTATGCATATATATGTATAATTATTTTGACGAATGAAGAAGAAGTGAATAATATTAGGAATGTTACAATAATTAAGCATAGACAAAATTATTGTGTTCATAAAAATCATTAATCATGGTAGCGGAAAAATAGAAGAGTTGAGTGTTAAAAAGTCAAGATAGTTGCATCCAATGCAGTTAAAAACATTTTGATCAAGTCTAATTCGCTGAATGTACTTCGATTAGTCAAACAGTTAGATCAATGAATTAAATCAATAAATATTTCAAATAAGAACTAGGATATATTTCATGAATAAAGTAATCAATTTGACTTACTTCATCAAGAAAATGAAAAGATTTCATGACATTCGCTGACGATTCTTGATTTCCTAATGTGGCTTCACTATTAATGTCTTCATTGGAAACCGGACAATTTGATATTGCATCGAAAAAACGACGATAAAATGCACTTTTTCCAAATGCTAGTCATGCTCAAATACAAGTACTAATCAAAAGTTTAACAAGAGCAACAGACCTGATCCACATACAAGAAATGAATACAAATTATTCGGAATTTATTCTCGATTGTTTCTATATACAAATACTCCGGAGCAAAGATGAGCTGTTGAGCCTAATAAATACCATGACAAAGCTGCCTGGTCCAGTAGTCGAACTTCGAATTGATGATTTAACCAACAGTTGATTCTTTTGCTAAATATTTTTCCTGGATTAAATGCAAATTTGTTTTGAATAACTGCTAGACTTTCATTATAAAGACGACAGAATTTTGATTGATTGTTTGTTTGACATGATGTTGTTGCCGAATGTGAAGATCGAGGATTTCGCACGTTCATGTATATTTTTTATTTCTTTCTATTATATGTTGGATGTCACAAAGAAATCTGAAAATGAACATATATTATATATTTTCGAATCAATGCCAATATATAGGAATATTCTGTTTATCCATTGATTACAGGATATTTAGTATCAAAGCAAAGTAGTAGCAGAAAGAATTGGACTTCATGCTATCTCGAAAATATTGTCAAAAGAAAAAAAGTGAACTAAATGTACAATTACATGCTGTCTTTTTCTTTAGTTTGACACATCTGTTGAAACAGTCAAATTAAAAAAGTGGTGTTATGAAATTATGAGGGTTGGTCAACTTTATGATCGGAAGGAAAAATCAATATTCGTAGCTGAAAAATGACTCCTAAGTAAAAACTGGTCCCTCACCAACACTACAATCAAGTAACACAGAGGCAATGCTTCACTGTGTCACCGATTCAGCTGTAGTTTCTCTCCACTCCTACTTCAGACATCTGCATGACAAGAAAAAATAAAAAATAAAATGTAATAATGAAAAATGAATGACACCGCAGGAAAAATGATATCATAATTTGGAATAATGGTATCGTCAAGAAGAATAAGGGTTAAGATCATTTCATTATATATAGGAAGTCCAGCGGAAAAGTGAATATGACTCTGGAGAGAATGATTCGGCGCGTCGTGATGGAATCTCGAGCATTGTGAAAATACTATGTTCTGCGGTGGGACGAAAAGGTGGGTTTCGGGACCTTTCCTTTAAATTGGAAGACTTGTCGTACAAAAGTAAATGATGAGTAGGAAATGTTAGCTGATGAAAATAGTTCATAACAACAGCAAATATGAGACGAAAACACGTTCATTCAAATCAGAAAAAAATTGTCATCTTTCCTTATATTTTGCTATACTATAAGCTTCGTGTGCAGCCTTTCAAACTGCTTAACAAGCCAGCCGATGTGTTTTCATCAAAATAAACTATTGATCGTCTTTATTCGGTCTCCTCAAATTGGCTTGAATTTACCAAACCGCCAAAAAAAAACAACGTCGTCCATTCCCATACGTACTAAATCTAGGGTTGGCGATTTCCCATATGCTAAAACAATGAACCATTATTCACATCTAGCTCATTCTCATGAAAATGTTTTTGATCATATCTTAAGCACCCAAGCTACAAAAATATTGTAAAGATTAATCGTTTACGCAACTGTGTTGGCTCGATAAACCTTGCTATTTTCGCAAACTGTTGCTCCGATGTTGATCGAAGTAATCACCATTGCTCCACTGTGTATTTCATTGAAACAAGCATGACGATCCGCCACACTCTCTCAAACTTATGACAAAAAGACAACGAGGACATTCGTCCTATAACAAGAAGCAAGCTAATAATTCGACCGAAATCAATCAAATATCTGAAACAAAACTATCATTTATCCAAACAAAACAAACAAACTGTTTGAAAATATTCCGCAGATTTAAAACAATAAGCACCCGATTGACCGAGATCTCGAGTACCAACTTCAGCTAAATGCAACTCTCAAATCGACATAATCACTCCTTAGTCACAGCGTAGCTTCTTCTTTCCCAAAAACGGAAACAAAATCCTCACGAAGAATGTAACGTATCCACACAAACGACAACGATCAAACATGAAACTATAACCGTTTCACTACGACATCACGATTCTTGCTTATAGTCAAATCTATCGAATATCTCAATCTTACCTAAACTACAATACAGCACCATCAACTCTCTAACGGACTTTTTCTTCGACGAAACTCACTCAAGAAGAAAACAAAATGCGAATGAATTCAAATAATGAGAAAATCAATCTAGTGAATGAATTTTTTAAACACAAGCACATCTTGAATAATTTCAGCGGACTTTTCTATCTGATCGATGACTTCGCCTTTCAGCAAAGTGACTCAAAAAGAAAAAAAAGGCGCGCATGAATTCAAATCGCAAGAAAATCAATCTAGTACATCAATTTTTTAAAGACAATCGAACTGGAATTATTTCAGCAGACATTTCTAACGTGAAGCGCACTTTGTCTTTCAAAGAAACTGTATAATCGAAATAAGTATGAAACATATTTGATTAAATTTGAAAAGAAAACGAGAAATTTAGTACAGATATGTGTCTTCCGTTTAGATTAAAGAACATTGATTTCATTGAACTTTTCTCTCTCATCGATGACTTTTGCTTTGATGAAACTGCTTGACGAAAGAAAACAAGATGTGAATGAATTGAAGGAATAAGAAAGTAAATCTAGTACGTGGATTTTTTTAGAGAGAAGCACATGTTGAATTGTTTTAGCGGACATTTCGAACGTGTGATGCACTTTTCTTCCAAAGGAACTGCTCAAATGGAAGTAAGTATATTGTATATGTGATTACGTTGGAAACATAAATGGAAAAATCTTGCAGGGGCTTGTGTTTTCCAATGACATTATGAAGATATTGTGTCCGATGAGTGCTTCTGCTATGATTAAACACAATTAAGTAGTTTTGATGTAATTTTGAAGATCAAATGAAAGCTTTGTTTTAAACTTATAAAAACAGATTTCAGTTTTGAAAAAAATACAAATTATCCGTCTTCAAATCGACTCTGAAATACAATTATTTATTGAAATGTAGGATATTTTACCGTTTCTACCTATCTTCAATGCTAGAAATTTTAAAATTAGTATGACGGAAAATGGTGACGTTCATCAAATTAGGGAGTTTTTAATTTTTCGAGATCATGACTACCTTCTGTCAACGAAGAAAACATTGCTGTGTTCTGATTTCCACCTTCGTACCAGTGACATTGAAAACAATTAAATGATTAGTTACCAACGCTTTGAAGTATAATTGACTTATCACTACAACAATTGTTTGTTGATAAATATCAGGCACAAAATATCCTGGAAATTGAGTTCAACAAACTTAAACAGATCATCTCTAATTCAAGTCGATCTAATAATTGTTATAAAAATGATAATCGAACAAAATGTATTATTAAAATATAATTTTTTTTATAACTATCGTTTTGTTTTTGATAGTTGCATAAGATACCTTTGACTTATAAAACTTTTCTGTTTCTTTTTATTAAACGAATTCTTTCAGTAAACAAAGTACAGGCATTTTTCTCTGTGTTGGCCATGTCCTATCGTTGAATTGAATTTTTCTTCATAAAATTTACAGATTGGATGAGAATGTGTAACTTTAAGGTGCCTCTAAAATAATAATTCATCAAATGTATTCACATTGTAATTAAATATTATAAAGTCTGTACTTTTTGTTATACTTCCAAACTACGATCGGACATTATCTTTAAAATAAAACAAACTACTTTTTAAATATAAAATAATTTGATACCACTAGTTTTGTTCAATTCATTGTACATATGCATCAGAAGTGAATAAAAAATAAATTTAAGCTGAGCACCTCATGATTCATTGATCTTTTCGTAGTGTAAAACCATTTAAAATGTCTTGCTCAATGTTTTCTCCGCAGTGATAATAAAAATAGTTAATTAATGAAAGAGGTTAGAAATCGATAGCAATGAAACAAATCAGTGTGCATACAATTTTCTCTAAGAACATTTTAAAGAGTTTCAAACTCATTCTTCTCCTAGAAGTATAACTAATTATCAAAATAGATGAAAACATTGTTTTATTCAAAGAAAATTCTTTATTTTTATATTAATTTTAAGTTATTTTTCCATATGCGATCCTTTGTTTTACAATCGTGTTCTCTTCTTCTTCAATAATTCCTTTTGTTTAAAAATCTGTTGTTCATAATCATCAATCTCATTTTCTTGTATAAATATAAATGTATATTATTCGTTTATGATAGTTCCAGAAATTTTTCCTTCGAAAAATGAAGTTGAGTAAAACTATGGATTGTATACTGTCGATTTAAGATTTACAATATTAAATATAAAAATTTATATTTTCACCGTATTTCTATATACTTATAGTATACTTATGAATAGGATTTCATTTCATATCCAGACAAGTTAAGTATCTTAAAAGAACTACTTCTTAACGAACAAGCTGGCTTCGTTTGTGTTAAAATTTTTTATCTAGACACTTGCTTTTTTAAACAAAGAAATTGGTTTTACAGGCGATAATTAATTTTTGTGAATTTATACTGAAGAGCACGTTTCTCAGGAAAAACAAATTTTAAATTCGAATGTCAAACGTACGATGAAAAAATAAGAGCATTCTCATATGTGATCAACATAGAAAAATTTAAGACTTAATAAACCATTCATAAAAGAATTTCTTTATCAACAAATAAGTTTTCGATGTATTTGTCATCGTTGATGACGTACTTAAAAAGAAAGCTAACTTGTCAGACCCTGTTAATTTTTTCTTCGTTTAAAAAAAAAGACTGTTAAGATAAAACAATTGACTATCAATTAGTCAACTAATGAAAAGACAGTCACCAATAAACTGATAATACTATCAATCGTCAAATTGATCACATAATCAAATATCAAACAGAAATTGTTATCGTTATTTTTCTTTTTCTTCCGTAGAATAACATACAAATATACGTTATTGTATTCTATGTAAGTCACTCAATTCAATCGGCGAGTAGATAATAAGTAAGCATCTATTTTTAAAATAATGTATTTACTTTTTAGGGGTGTTACATTACAATACACAAGGTTTAACAATGCATTACAATTGCAATGAAATTATTATTACTATTATTACTGCTTTTTTTCCTCAAAACAACTCTTCTTAAAAAGCTGACACTAACCTATTCATTTTTCTCTTTTTAGAATGTATTCTAATCTATCAATGGTAACCAACCAGTCCTGATATCAAAAATAAAAAAATGTAGGTATAACACATAACAAATTAATTAATTTTTGTTTCTAACTCTAGAGGTGTTATAATGATATCAAATTACAATGCAATGATAACTTATTTTCTTTCCTGTTTTAAATAAATTCAAAACAAAACAACCTACTTATAATTTATTTTCATTTAGATTATTCACAAAAACTATTCGACGAAATTAAAAACTAAAATAAAATGAGATGAGAATGAGCGATTGAGTTGAGTCGAAAAAAGAATTATTATTGTGGACGGAATATTGAAAGTTAAAATTAATTTTTAACGAAAAAAAATTCAAAACAAAAAAAAAGAAGAGCCACTGATTGTTACTAGAAACGGCGAAATAGTGTAGAACTAGGAAGGCCTTTTCATGCACACGAGGTCACTGTCGTCGCATTTGTACGTCATACATTGTGTACATTGCCCTACCACTCTGGCGTGGTCCACTCTATGCGTACCCGTTTCATGACCATGGGGTACTCTTTCTGGTCGCGCGCGAGACTATTAAATATTAATTAATAATTATTCAAACTATTCTATTAAACGAGTACTAGGGAAAATAAACATTTGCAACTTCTTTTTCACTTCTTCTATATTATTCAATACGTTCTTAATGCTGGCATGTGTTAGTGGAAGTGAATTTCGATAAATACCAAGTGCTTTTTCTAGAAGTGGAAGTGCTTTCGAGTATTCATCCATGTTGTAATACGTCGCAGCGATGTTGTTGTAGGAAGCAGCCAAATCGGGATGATTCACACGCAGAGATATTTCTCTGATTTTGAGTGATTTTTCGTAAAATTCAAGTGCTTTCGAGTATTCGCCTATGTTTTTATACACTCCACCGATGTTGTTGTAGGAACTGGCCAAATTGGGATGATTCGCAGGCAGAGATATCTCCAAGATTTTATTTGATTTTTCTAGAAGTGGAAGTGCTTTCGAGTATTCACCCATGTTTTTATACACTCCACCGATGTTGTTGTAGGAGTAGCCAAATCGGGATGATTCGCAGGCAGAGATATTTCTCTGATTTTGAGTGATTTTTCGTAAAATTCAAGTGCTTTCGAGTATTCACCCATGTTGTTATACACTCGACCGATGTTACCATAAGTGGAAGCCAATGAAGCATCATCTTCTGGAAGAATTTTCCGCTTGATCTCGAGGCATTTTTCGTAGAATTTAACTGCTTCTGGGTATTTGCCTTGATCATCTTTCAAGTATCCAAGCATGTGATAGATATGTGCTCTATCACTATCAGTAGAGGCATTATCGAGTAATCCATTGTAGAGTTCTTCAACTTGATCGAAATGGCCCACTTTGAGCATCAATTGACCCATTCGACGCCATCCAGTAGAACCTCGAACCTCCTCTTTGATGCAATCGGTAAGACCAGCAAGTTGTGAATCATTATCATCAGTAATAGTCAAGTGTATTTCCCAAAGACGATTATTCTTAGCCGTCTGTTTAATTTCAACGATGCGAAAAACAGTGTGCATTGTAAATAGTATTTCTTGTTCTGATGGGATAGCACTGTGTTCATCAATCATAGCAAATGGAGTATTCGAAGTTGATATTTTACTTTGATCAATAGTCATAATAAAAATAACGCCAACAATGTCTTGGTTCTTTTTCATAGTACGTTCAACAAATTTCATGCCCACTTTTGGTTCCATACTTGTTGATAGGAAATTATTGAACGACAGTAGACCACCTTTTGAATCTAGTAGATTCTGAAAATCTTCTTTGCTCATTCCCTGACCACGATAAACGGTAAATGATTTCTTGAATTTGGCCGATTGTTCCTGATGCAATTGTTCCAGTTGAAGATGTAAACTTCGAATAAAAAAGCCTAACTTGGACATCGCTTCCATATCAAGCGATCGTAACCCCCAATTAAGCATACCATAGAGAAAAATTTCACGTGTATACCACCATACTGCTGATTTCTGGTGGTATTCACGCTTTAGTTCATTTATTTCTGCGTCAGGAATTTCTTTTTTTTTTGCAATAAATTTCTAAAGCCTTAATAGATTTGGCGTCATCATCATCGATTTTTAATACGATATCCTTGAAAATTACCGAGTACATATAAGTAGGCGGTAATTGGTTAAAATTTTGCACGTCTTATTTTTTAAACAATAGTTTATTAGTGATGTTGATTATCTATAGAAGACCTTTGAGATATTCAAAAAAAGATAGGCGTGGCTGTCGCTTATTCTCTCTAACTTAAGGATTCTATCGAATTATTTTGTATATACGTAACCGACCTCTGTCTTCTGTTTATTCGTGTAATAATAAAGGAAAACACTGAATTATCATGAACCAATAATAATCTTTCTTGAAAATTTCATGGGTATATCTTATTCTAAAGATACATAGTAGAAATGATGATTACAACTGTTATAGCCATGATCGTTCTAATTGGTTTAATAGTTCTTTGGTTACTAAAAACATTAGGTGTATTTAAAACGATTTCAATTCAAATTACACAACCACCATTCAATCAATTGACTATAGTATATAAATTTCAACGTGGTAGTTATTCGAAAGCAGGTGATATATTCAATGATATTGCTAAATATTCAACATCTCTTGACAAACTTGGAATTTATTATGATCATCCTAAAGTTGTACATTAAAACTGTAGAATATAATGTTTTTCTAATTTCTATTTGAAATTAGGTGCCAGTTGAAAAACGACGATTTGCTGTCGGCGCTATTGTTGATGAAATCAAAGATCGAGAATTAATCAAACAAATGGAGAAAAACAATTATAAAGTTTTTAAACTTCCAGAGTTCGATCGATCGGTTTATACAACATTTCCATTCAAGAATATTCTATCGATTTTTATTGCAGTTATGAAAGTTCCTTATCGATTAGGTGATTATATTCAGGTAAATTGTTTCTTATTCGAAATCTGAAATTGAGATTTTTACATTCTAGGCAAAGAAAATCGAAGCTCATCCATTTTTAGAGATTTACAAACGACCATTAATTCATTTTGTTGTCCCATTGAGTGATTTCGATGCTTACAATGTTCCTGAAATCAGCAATGAATAACCATGAAGAAATATTTTATTTTGCGAATATTTGATGAACTTATTTTTAATAAAGATTTACGAAAAAACTGATCTATTCCGTTTGTTTCTTGCATGATGGAGCTGATAGAAGAAATCAATTCTTATTTATTTAAAACAATAATAAGAGTAGTAGTATTTGTAATACCGATTGAACAAAAAAATAAGAAAGATAAACTATAGACGAACTGGAATTCGATTGAACCAAACCAATTTTACAGCGTGCATCCGTTGAATGGCGTGAACAACCATCGATGCCACCCGGACAGTTGATATTTATCTGTGATTGAAGGTAATGTTCGACTTGTTGAAATTGATTCTGTACTTCTTGTTGCGGACATTTATCAAGGCGAGATTTTAAACAACGAAAATAAGTGGTCGCTTGTTGACACCAGCCACGTTTATTAACAGTATTCCAAGATGGATTAAATTTAACAGTGATCATTAACGGTTGACATAGATCGTTGATTGTTTTTACTTGGCAAATTTCGTTAACGACCGGTGTTTGTTGTACAGATGCTGAACCAAGAATACCATTTTTCGACAATGCAATTGAATGTAAACCCCCGCCACCACGAACCGAATCTGCTGCTTCGGCTTGTTTCGGCGAATCCCAAACGATATTAAATTTATAATCTTCGATTTTATCATTGCAAAAAGCTAATAGATCATCAACACGTTTTCGAATGCCTAAAAGAATTATTTAAGAATTTCTCCAATGAGTCCGGTACGAAAAAAATCGAATGCCTACCTTTCATGATCGATTCCATTGCTGTTTCGTATTTTTCTTTCGTTTCACAACCACGATATTTCTTATGAACACACTCAAAGTAAACTCTCGATGCCACACAATATTTAATCGCGTCGGTTTCTCGATCTTCTTTTTCCGGCTTACGACCGCATGCACGAGCACCCATTACGTCACATGCATCTATATTTGAAATCATAATAGCAGTCAGGAAAATCAGTAAATAATAGTATTTCATCTCGTCTCATCGAAATATCAAATGATTGCAAGCAAGAAAAAAGTCATTAGTGTTTACTATGTTGTTGTTGTCACCTTCCTCGGCCAATAAGAGATTATAATAGACACGTTGGTATCAATTTTAAATAATCGAGGAAGAACAAAAGAGATCACACACGCGCAAAAACTATGAAATTGTTTTCTCTTTCTCTTCTACTTGTTTCGTTATACTACGATCGATAGAGTTGCAGCATTAACGAAAAAATACCGATAAACTTATGCACGAGTAATCGTTGACATTTTCTCATTAAACAAATAATAAAAGCTTTGTTGAACGATAGTTATGAGAGAGAACAAATATTTATTTAGTAACAAAATTGACGCCCACCATGCCAATCACAATCGAAACGAAAACATATCTGTTACGTAGAATTTTTTATCTATCAAGATGTTTCAGTCCACCATGATCTAAGTCCTAAACCAGGTTCAGATATTGAACCAATGATGGTGTAGGGTACTTTTTTGTCGTCATCATTCGTCGTTTGGGCCATCGATCCATTATTATTTGACATTTCTTTTGGTGCTGTATCTTCGAAAATTTCTTGCACAACACGAAAACTTAAAACAAAAAACAAAATGCAACGATCGAATCAACTGAGAAGTATTACGTACCGAATTTCTTCACCAATATCCATCACGAGATCATGTGTTTCATCATCCGTTTCATATTGCCATGCCCATGTTTGTTCTGCTTCAATAAATCGAGATGGATGTTGAAGTTTAGTCGACGGAATAAGAATATCATCAAAAAATCCTATTGAACGAAATTTGTTTTTCATCACGATAATCTATTTCATTTCTTATTACCTAAGGTTACTGTAATGCCATCTTTACTTGACGATCGAATTTTACCTTTAAAAATAGCAAGAAAGCTTAAAATCTTCGTTGGATTCTTTGCATATCTTACCAACGAGAATTTCATCAATATTCGGTCGGAAGACGACATAACGAAATTTGACTTTAATATGAAAATTCGCATCCGATGGCAATAGAATACAGTCACCCATCGATAAAATATCATACAAACATACACATAGGCCTAATTCTTGAAAAATTGTATTGGCTAATTTACGATCGAGTTCCTCGGCTACAATAGTACTCAATTGTTCATTGAATAGATGCGGTGCAATAGAAACTGTATCATCCAACGTTGCGACGATAAACATTGTTTTCTGAAAGATGATTTTTTGAAATAAATGTTTTTTTCTAAACACGTTCGAATCTTGTTTTATTTATTTGCTTAAAAAAAAAGAACAAGAAAATTTTCATAACAATAGTCTATTGTTTATCTTTTGCACTAGTTGATTTTTTAACAGGTTGTACATCGGTGTGAGCTGATTCAATGGCAGAGGATCTTGAAGTTAAACTTTGGAGATCTTTCGTTTCTAGATTTTTATAAATAGATAACGCTGATGCCACCATCGACGACATGTCACCAGTGTTGCTCGGCAAAAGAATTGTATTATTTGTACGAGCAAGATTCCCAAATGCGTGAACATACTGTTCAGCAATTTGAAATGAAGCAGCATTGCGTCCTTGCTGAAAATAAAAAATTTATTTTAAGGAAAAAAAATGATATAATTTACCTCGGATTGCAATTGATCAGAAACTATTTTAAGAGCTTCTGCACGTGCATTAGCTTTAGCACGAATCGCTTCGGCTTCACCGTTAGCATTGTTGATTTGTTCAAGTTTAAAACCTTCACTAGCTAAGATTGTTGCTTGTTTTGTACCTTCAGCTTTATTAATTTGTGCTTCACGGACACCTTCACTTTCTAAAACTGTAGCTCGTTTACGTCGCTAAATATAACCAACATTTATGTTATAAACATTTTCTATTTCTTTATCTCCTAATTTACTTCAGCTTCCACTTGCATTTGCATCGCTTCTTGAACTTTAGCCGGAAGACGAATGTCACGAATTTCGTATCTAACAAATTCAAACTGATTAAATAGTATTGTTTAAACATTGAAATCACCTTAAGCAAACAATACCCCATGCTTTCGCTGCTTTATTGATAGCCTCTAAATAGAATCAACAACAACAATAAGACGAATAAATCCTGAATATATAAAACTACTTACCAACAATACCGACATTGAGTGATTCTCTCTCGCGAAATAGTGTATCCAATGCAATTTTACCAATTTCCGAACGCATAGTTGTTTGTGCAAGTTGTGTTACAGCAAATTCAGCATCTTCAACACCGTAACTAGCCTAAATAAACATCACACTCGTGAATATTTCTCTTCTTGTTGATTTCTACTACTTACCAAATAAGCATCATAAACTTTGAGATATAATACACCATCAATCGTCAATGTTACATTGTCTAGAGAAATTGTTAGTTTTTGTAGCAAAGAGAAAAAAAACATTTTTCTAATACCTTTTGAAATAGCTGTTTGACTTGGAATTTCGATTGCTATTTCTTTTAAACTTTGCACATAACGAATACTATCCAAAACCGGAAGTAAAAAGTTCAAACCCTTAAAGCAAAATATTATTGTATAACTAATCTCCTATGCACTTACAGGGTTTAGAGTTTTAAAGAATTTTCCCATACGTTCGACAACCCATGCTTCTTGTTGTGGAACGAATAGAACAACTGTATTATATGGTAAACGAGAACGAAAACGAAGCTGTTGTTGGCGAGCCGTCGTCGTCGTTATAACACGTTGTAAAAGTCGCCGCTAATAATCAAACATGGATAAATGCCGAAAACAAAATTCAGATACTTACAGACACAATCGGACCTAGCGTTTTATTCAATACAAACGCCATATTAACCAATATTACTTCTACAAAAGAGAAATTGGTATGGTCTTTTCATAGCAAATGTTGAGTCATATTTCTAATAATACATATTTTTTATTTGAATCAATCTGACAGCATATAAGAAAATACATATATAAAAAAAGAATATCTGACAATGAAAATTTATGGTGAAAAGAGTTGGCGTTTTGTATCATCTTAAATTAGAAAACAAAAAATAAAATACATCGAATTTGTTTTTCTCTTACTATTTAAATGGCTATAGTCACTGGGAAGATTTTCATCATTAATACTCAAGTCATTCATATGGAAAGGATCTCGACTATGACGATGTCGTGGCGCAGCCGATCTTGGAATGTCTTCAGGTTTACATATTGGAGTGCCAGTGATAAAATATGAAGATTCTAAAGCCTATAGAAAAACAAAAAGAATTCAGCTAGTTTTTCTTTCTATGAATTGTATTTTACTTGTTTAGCTGTAGCTCGATGTTTTGGGTTCATAACAAGTAAACTTTTTAAAAGAATTAATTCTTGTTCATTGGCTCGAGGAAATTTTTTCTCGAAAGTTTCTTCGTGATTCAATAAACTTTCATCATGAAATTGTAAAAAATGCTTAAATGTTTTCGCTTCTGGCCACGTTTTATCATCGGGTGGACCAAGTAAACGATAGATCATCAAGATTTGTTCGATTTCACTTTTACTTGGAAATACAATATGTCGATTTATTAATTCACCGATTACAACACCCAACGACCACAGATCTGTTGATGTTCCGTACTGTCGATCGCCAAGTAAGAACTCCGGCGAACGATACCAAGCCGGTGGTAAACGATGAAGTTTTCGACTTGTATCATCAACATAGATTGAAATACCGAAATCAGCGATTTTAATTATTCCTTGATTATCAATCATGATATTTCCTGGTTTGATATCCTTCAATATTGAAAGTAATATTATAGAAAACATCACGAAATAAAAGTTCATACTAGGTGCATAATGTCCGATGCATGAATATATTCGAGACCTGAAAGCATCATATGAGTCATGCATTTTATATGACTATGATTATAACGATTGTCTGTACAATGGATTAAACGCTTGAAAGAAGAAAAGATTAATTTTTTGAATGCAAGTTTTTTCCATGATGGACTTACTCCAAGATCTGCAAACATTAATTCAAAGACTAGAACAGCAACTTTGGAATCGGCTGTATAAAATGAATCCAAGAGCTAGAAGAAACCTATGAGTTGGAACATTCTTTTACTAGATTCACAGATTGTACCTTGATAACATTAGAATGATTTAATTTTCTTAACATTTGCATTTCGTTTTCAGCTGCTGGTTCAGCCCAATCAGTGTATTCTCCATGACGACCCACTTTAATCTAGGAACAATCCAAGAAATTTTTTTTTCTTTCTTTGATTTCACAATAAATACCTTTTTAATAGCAACTTCTGCATTCGTTGGAAGATACCGAGCTTTATAAATTCCTACAAGCTAAAAAAAATCCAAAATGATAGAAGAAAGGAAAAAACTCAAAAAATCCTATTTACCGAATCTTCAACAATCACTTCATCGATCACATAATTTTCAGACTTAGCAGTCGGCATTGATTTCTATAGATTACAGTAGAGAGTTTTATTTTTCTTTGATTAAATTGTTTATTTATTCTGGAAAGATTGTATAAGAAAGAGAGAGAAAAAAATTCATTTGAAATGAATCAACAAATCAGAAGAAAAGTTTTATTTATTAAATTTTACAGCGCCATCTTTCTGTCAGTATTTGTTTTCTCGCTCTCTCTCTCTTTCTCGCTTTCGGCCAATCGAATCAAAAGCAACTAAGTCAGTCAAATAGAGAGCAAGAGAGTTGATTGATTGATAGGTAGATAGTGAACGACCATCGGTCAAATTGTTTTTTTGTTGTTGTTATTGTTTCTTTTATTAAAAGAATTTCAATTAATAGATTTTTATTTAGTTAAAATATCATCAACAATGCAGATATGAATATGAATACGAATAATCTTAATACTCCATTATCTAATCGAGTACGATATTTTTTTATTATTTGTTAACCGAAAAAAGTAAACAAAAAATTCTATATTTCTTCTTATAATTATTTTTAGTCGGATGGCACCGATTCCGGATCGATTATGTCTTCGATTTATCCTTCGACGCCAGCAGGTACACCAAATAATTATCTCTCAAATCGCTCATTTATACCGCAAACGCCCGCATCTATTAACGCTGAAATGGATCCATCAAATACGCCGTCAAGTGTAACGTCTATACAAACCAATGATCAACGACGAAATATTGTTCAGCAACTTGCACTTCTACTTCACGCCCATAAATGTCTTCAACGCGAACGACAAGCCCAAACATGTAATGGAGATAATCACGGAATGCCTCCTACAACAGCGTCACTAAATCCTTGTACATTACCACATTGTGCTACGATGAGAAATGTACTTCAACATATGACGAAATGTGCTGATTTTAAAAATTGTTCTTGTAAATGCTATTTTTCATGAGTCGTCCTCCGAAAATATCGTTTTCTTTCAATTTAGTTCATCATTGTGTTCAATCACGCCATATCATTCTTCATTGGAAGAATTGTACTACGCCTAATTGTAATATATGTGGTTCATTGAAGAAGCCATCAGCACTTCGACCACAAAATTCCATACGTATGTTTTTTTTTTGTTTTTTTTGCAAAAGTTAAAGTTTTATTTTATAGCAAAAGAATGGCAACAACAATTACAACCCGATCATCGCAATCATTTAGTCAAGAAAATAGTCTCAGCATTGTTAAATACCGTTCAACAGGATGGTCGCTCATTGCCACCGGATCGTTTAGCTGCAGTAACATCTTATGCTCAACAAACCGAAGCTGAAACATTTAATACAGCTATAAGTCACGAAGATTATTTTCATCGATTGGCTGAACGTATTTATAAAATTCAAAAAGATTATGAAGAAAAACAAATGTCGAAAAAACAACAGATTCTAACCACAACATTGACATCAATCGATAAGTCAGCTGGCGAACAAGGCCCGCCAAATCGTATCGCACCTCAATCCGATTATCCATCGTCATTTTTACCTTCGACAACAACACAGATTAAATCAGAAAATCAAACACCCAATCCAATGCAATCCGTATCGTTCGATACACATCGCACTTCAACGGATAGTCTTAGCCGAATGACAATTCAAAATACAAACTCAAATATTATTTCGCATTCAGATACCAATGGAAATCAGTCGGATTCAAAACTTATGAAAACAGAACAACTATCACCAAATCATGATACGAAAATTCAAGTAAATAAACATGTTTTTCTCATATCTTAGCGAATTCTGCCTTATGAAAATATTTTAATCTAACCTGTATTTTTTCTTCATCTTTAGACAATGACAATTATAAAGAAAGAAGAAACGATAACAACAAGCGAAACATCAATAAACGGAAATAATGTCACCACCACAACTGTTGAATTAATCAAAACAGAAAAAATCGATATTGAATCAACAAAAACAAATCGTCTACCGTCAATCGATTCAACAAGTAAATCATTACCAAAATGCCCCGCAGTTTTTTCCGTGGACGATATTCGAGAACGAATGACACCTATACTTCGCCATTTATCGGCTCACGAAGAAGGCTCATGGTTTCGTCAGCCAGTGACAGAACAGATCGCATCGGGCTATTTTGATATAATCAAATATCCCATGGATTTTTCTACCATGTTTAAAAAACTCGACGAAAATCAATATTTAACACCATTTCAATTTTGTGAAGATATTTGGCTTATTTTTAATAATGCATGGACATATAATAAGAAATCACAAAAAGTTTATAAAGCAGGTTTAAAAGTAAGTTCGTTTTATTTGAAGAAAAAATATCAAGACAAGAAAGTTTTTTTTCAGCTTGCCGATATCTTCATGGAATTAGTTGATCCTATTATGAAAGATTATGGTTATTGTTGTGGACGTCAATATGTATTTTTACCGTCAGCTATGTTTTGTTACGGTGTGTCGGGCATGTGTTGTACGATTGCACGTGATGGTGATTATTTCGTTTACAATAATCCGGATTCATCAAGAAATAATCTATCCGGTGATAAATATACATTTTGTAAGAAGTGTTTCGATTCAGTTAAATCTGAATATATATTAGTTGGCGATGATCCAGCGCAAACATTAGTTGAATTGCCTAAAATGGAATTTAGTCAAGCAAAAAATGATCATCAAGAACAAGAACCCATGGTCGATTGCATTGTTTGTGCAAGACGCTTTCATAACATATGTGTTCTTTATCATGAACATATTTGGCCTGAAGGTTATGTTTGTAAAACATGCGTCAATCAATATAATATTAAACGAAAGGAGAATCGCTATTTGGCACATAAATTAACAATGACTGATTTAGCCAATGCTTTAGAAAAACGTGTTAATGAATTTTTGAAGAAAGATTGTGATCTTGATACAGGTCGTGTCACAATTCGAGTTCTAGCTGCAAGTGATCGAATATGCGAAGTTAAACCACGACTAAAGAAACACTTGGGCCCACAAGTACCAGAAGGATATCCGTATAGAACAAAAGCTGTATTTGCATTTCAAGAAATCGATGGCGTCGATGTCGTTCTTTTCGGTATGCATGTACAAGAATATGACAGTCGATGTCCGGCACCTAATGCAAGGTAAGAATCGATTTTTAAATTTCCCCCCTATGAATATCTATCTATTGAATACGAATTTAAGGCGTGTCTACATTTCCTATCTTGATTCGGTACATTATTTTCGACCGAAACAAAAACGAACAGCACTTTATTTTGAAATACTTATTGGCTATCTTGAATATGTTAAACAATTAGGATTTGCTTATGCACATATTTGGGCGTGTCCACCAAGTGAAGGCGACGATTATATATTTCATTGTCATCCAGTAGAACAACGAGTACCAAAACCGAAACGTCTACAAGAATGGTACAAGACAATGTTAGATATGGCTGTGAATCAACGTGTTGTTGTTGACTATAAAGTTTGTTTAGTTTTTGATGGTTTGGCTTTTCGTCATTGTTTTATCTGTTTAGGACGTCATGAAAGATTGTAATGATAGTGGTGTGAATAAGCCAGGGGATATTCCCTATTTTGAAGGCGATTTTTGGTCAAGTACAATCGAAGATCTACTTAAGGAACTTGATATCGAAGAAGAAGATCGACGAAAGTTCGAAGAACTTGAAGCTGTTAAAACAACGGATGATGGTTGTTTCGATGACTCAATTGAACCTGAAGAACCGACAGAAGTATGTGATGTTTTTTGTTTTCATAGAAGTCTTCATTCTTTTAATTCTAGATTTCTGATAAACGTAAATCGGGCAGTGGCACAACCCATAAGAAGAAAAATTTCAAAAAAACAACAGGCAAACGACGAATAGCACGAAAAAATATGTCCAATGGGGCCGATTTAATAACGAAAGTTTATGCTATGATGGAAAAACATAAAGAGGTAAAAACATTGAAATTCTTTTATTATCATGAATGTTATTTTCTATTTTAGTCCTTTTTTGTTGTTCGTCTTCGCAATCCAATGTCGAATCCAGCAACATTAACCGATACAGATCCGTTGATTCAATGTGACTTAATGGAATCTCGTGATGCATTTTTAAGTTTTGCTCGTGATAAACATTGTGAATTTTCTTCGTTGCGCCGCGCAAAATACTCTACGATGGCCTCATTAATAGAATTGCATTCATCAACAGCCGATAAAATCTCCTATACATGTAATGCATGTCGACAATTATGTGATATACGATATCATTGTACTGTATGTGATGATTACGATTTATGCAGTAAATGCTATTCAACAGTTAAACATGAACATCGCATGGAACGTTCCGATGACGCAAGTGAAACACCAACTAGCTCAGATACACCAGTGAATAGTCAACAACAAAGACAAATAAATATACAAAGAATGTTAGATACTTTACGCCATGCTGTCCAGTGTCGTAATGCAAATTGTATATTTAAAAATTGTGCACCATGTCAACGATTACTTCAACATGCTAAAGAATGTACGAAGGCATCAAGAAATCAATGTGTACTTTGCAATAAAATTATATCGCCAGTATGGTTCCATGCGAAAACATGTTCCGATCCAAATTGTCCGGTATGCATATTTAAGTTCAGTTTTGTTTTCTTAACTGTTCCATTCGATTTTGTTTAGCTACCGTATTGCACAGGTTTTAAGCATAAACTTCAACGACAACGTGCAGCAACTATGCAAGCCGATCGACGACGTATCACTGCTATGCACAGAGCGAAAATGGCGCCTGGTAATGAATCGTTCTCGAGGGATTTATCATAATAATAATATGTTTCTTCTCTAGGTCCATCACCACTAAGTCAACAAAATGCAGAATCTACACCTGCACAATATCATCAACAGATGGAATCTGCTTCACCGAGTTCATCGGGTAAAATGATGCCATCTAGTGGTAAGGGTAATAAATCTGCACCCATGAGTGGGTTAGTACGCGCTAGTTTACCTCCACAACAATCATCGTCACAACATTCAGCATATTACAATGGTGGCAAAGGAAATCCAGCAGCTGGTGGATATCCAATGATGATAACACACCATCAGCAGCAGCAGCAGCAGCAACAGCAACAACAACAACAACAACAACAACAAACACAGCAATGGATGTCAGCACAACAACAACAACAACAACATCGATATGCAACACATGTTGCCGGCGGAGGAAAACCAATGGTGTATGCACAACAAAGAATGCCATACGGCGGAGATCCATACATGATGCGACAACAAACTCCACAGGTGCCATCATCATCGTATCCATATACATCTAATATAGGTAAACTATCGAAATAGGAAATAATTTAGCATGAAATTTTATTTTCATATTTTAGTTCCACCAGGATATTCACATAATCAATCAATGGATCCTAATGCGTTGGCAGCAGCACGTTCTGGAAAACCGATGCTATCACAACAACAACAACAACAACAACCATCACAACAACAAGTACCAACTCGATATCCGCTCAATTCATATTACAGTCATCCGTCACCCATGCCTTATCAACAGCAATCCCAACAGATCGTACAATCGCCACATCGATCGCTATCACAAGGTCCAACTCCGAATTATTCAATGCCATCAACACCAGTACCGTCAAACGGAGCCGGTGGTAAATCAGCTTTAATCGATCCAAACGAATCAAAACCTGAAGATATGATGGATGATCCATCCAAACTGCAACAACAACAACAAATCTTTCATCCTCTCCTTCAGAATCGTTCACGTCCACAAACGCCAAACTTTTATCCTAATATGCCACCAGCGAATTCTCCTTATTATCCTCCACAACGTCCAATGACGTCAACACCAGATTATAATATGGCATCAGCAGCTCGTGGTATTCGACCAGTCAATGCCGGTTATGGAAATCTACCAGTGCAACGAATTCGAACTCCACTCGCTTCACAATTATCATCTCCAACCAATGATCCTACGACGGGTATGAATAATAATCCTATGGGACTTCAATCTACGCCGCTACCTCCGCCATCTGTAAATCCTCGATGAAAAGCAATATTATCTTATTGATCTCTATTTATTATCTTCATATGTATCTCTGTCTCAATCGCTGTCTTTATTTTTTGGCCGACTGATTTTATTCTTCTCTTAAGTTATCGGCAAAGAAAATTTTTTTCTCTCGTTTTTTATACGCACTGATCTATACATATATATCTCAAAAACAAAATATATCGAAAACATCTCATCCATTTTTTTTCTTTTTCGAGTGTATATGTACATATCTGTTTTTGCTCCAATACGAATAATATGCGCATCGTTCAGCTATGTAGTTTTGTTTTTTTACATTGCTAGTGTACATTTATGTCTGTTTGCTGTGGAACAAAAACAAAGGATTTTTTTTCTCATATTTTTTCATAACAAATATTGTTGTTGTTGTTGTTGTTGTTGTTGTTGTTGTTGTTGTTGTTGATGATATTGGCCTCGTGCATTACGTTCTTTTCGTTGTTGTATTGCGTTGAGTATCTATTTCTTACTTCTTCTTGATTTCCACAAGGAGGATAAGTCAGTTTATGTATATGTATCTTGTTTTTTCTTTTTCTATTTGTCTGCCTTTCTTCCAGACAATATATGCTTTCCTTTTCTTTTTCGCTTCTTTATATAAGCCCGAGCGCGCGCTACTGCCGTGAAAACATCGTTTTTTCTATTTGTACTAATAATAAAAAAGTGAAATGGTCAAATGAAAAACTAACATTGATCATTTTGAACTTCATTTCGATTAGATTCGAAAATCCTATGGGAATCTCAGGAATCCAATGAAAATTTCGAAAGTATGAAATCCACTGTTTCCTCTATTTTGGCAACCTGCCTTGACCTTTTTGATAATGAACAATATGCATCTCGCAACTTCTATCATCGACAATATCAGGATTTAAATGCTGCCATGATTTTTGTAATAGTCGATCTGGTGAACTGAAAATCTCCTTGGACGTAGCTGAACTTGCAAGACTTCCACATACGAGATTATTTATAATTGCCATCTGAAGCGTGCTATTGTTTTACTAGCTTCTTATTTATATCCATGAACATCATTTAGTGTGTAATATTAGTTACAGATTGACAGGATAGGTCATGCTATATATAACTTTTAGCTCTCTAAATACATTGGATCCTTTTCTGAGAAGAATGAAATACTTTCTTTGTCTACTCGATTTTAACAGGAATGTTCAAAACAACTGTCAAGAAAAAAATGTATTTGATTCCGATAAACTAAAGCTTTATTAAAATAGAACTTTCACAAAGGAAAAAGACGGATCAGAATGAATCCTATCGGAATGCAATGCAAATCCCACGAGTAAGAAATCCGTCTTTTTTCTCTTTTCATGATCTATCCTCGAAAGTGTACAGGTTCATTTTTATGTATTATATTTCTAAAAATAGAAAACTTTTGTCTTTGATTAGTGCTATTCTCGATACAAGGATTGATTCTAGTTGGTTTAATGCTTTCTCTCTCCATTAATAACGATGGGAAAATAACACTAATACAAAATATGATGATAAACATTAATGGATTATATTCAATTCAAAGTACCTTTTCTTTTTCTAACACTAAAATGTATTTTTTCATGTTATTCCTCTGTCGAAGTTATAAAGAAGATTAATTTTATGAAAAGATTAATTATGTTCATTACGACGATCTTATTAAATTCATAGTTATTCTCGACTATAGAAAGATTCAAGTCCTTCGAAATTCATTATTTTGTATGATGAATAAGTTGGAGTTAATGCTCTCTATGATTCTAAATAGAACAAAGTAATTAGTTTAGATAAAAAACTACGTCATTAAAATGTTTGTCAGGCATGAAAATATTTCCTTTTTCTCTTCCTACAAAGAAAGAGATAATCATCGGATTAGTTTTTTTTGTATTCATATAAAAGCAAAACTCAAGTTAGCTGTTCATAGCATTGAAAATTCATTATGGCATTGAACTATAGCAGTTCATCGTGGAATACTACTGATATTCTGGTAGCATCGTCGCTAGAACGAAGAATCAAGTTCTTCATATTGATTACTCTACAAACACCATCGTTTTGTTGTACGCTCTTCATGTAAGTCCATCTGCTTTTAAAAACTCTAATGACCGAATGTACTTTTCTAGTTTACGGCATTTTTCATGGCGACATTTACAAACTCAAATTTATGGTTTTCTACTCATACCGAATGCTCTTATTCTTGGTGCTGAGTTGTCCATTACACTTTATTACTTGTATGAAGGAACCATTTATTTTGAAAGTCGCTGTTCTCCTTGGATCACGTTAAATTATACACTTTTTCAATTGAGCATTTTTTTAATGACTTGGATATCGATTCAACGTTACTTATTTATTTATCATGAACAATTTATTCAAAGACACATGATTCTTCTTCATTATGGGCCAGTGATATTTCTCTATGTATATTGTCCATTACTTTATGTCGGTATCGTAATGATATATGGATGTAAACCGACTTATGATGTTACTTTATACATTTGCGGTGGTCCATGTTATTCTTTAAATGTAGGTCTTGGCATATTTGATTGGATTGGAAATGGTATAAGTATGGAAATGACAACATTCTTTGTTAATGTCTTAGTTACTATACGTCTTTTTATACAACGTTATCGAATGAAACGAGCTATTGCTACAGTAGATGGACATCGACAATGGGTAAGAAATAATTTTTGAACTTTTTTTCTATCTATGAAAATAACAATGAATCTGTTCTCTAATAGCGTCGTTCAGTGAAATTAGGTGTGCAACTTATTGCAATCGGTATGATTTACGTGGTTGGTTGGGTTCCATATTCAATTATTGTATTGATACAAATGTTCAACGGTTCTGGAGATCTTGCTAATATTCTTTCAAATGTTTTTGCTTATTTACCTTATTTTCAAGAATTATTAGTACCTTATGCTTGTGTTATGTATATGCCGGAAGTAAAAGCAAAACTTGCTGCTCTATTGAAGTTACCATACATTCATAGAAGACAGCATCCATCAAATCAAATTCGACCGACTACTTTCCTACCAAGTATAAGTAAGCATCCAATGTGCACTGTTCATGATCATTAAGCATGATTGTAGATATTCTGTTTTTAAATGTTCGTGCGTTTCTTTAAAAACAATCTATATGTTGTAGTTTTTATCTATGTTACATATTAATTTCACGTTCAATATATTTTTTTTGTGAATTTTGAAATCTAGTCTATATATTGTGAACTAAAATTAATTAATTATTTTAATGTACTATTTGTGAATGTAATTGTAAATTTTATCTTCTATATAATTCAATAAATCATCTAGATCGAGTGTCATTCAAGAGGAAATAATCTGTTGTTCTTTTTTAGTACTATGAATAAGATTCAGAATCAATATCGCTAGAGTTTACGTTTTATTTATGTAGTAGGAACGGCAAGGGATAAAGTCGTCCTGAATTTGTTAAATCATTAAATAGAATACAACGATAAAAATCGGCCGTCATAAAAACGTCTATAATCTAAAACGATTTTGATTTTCAATCGCAACTAAAACGATAAAGAAACAAGGGAAAAATATAGATTTCGTACTCCTGGGATTATCATTGAATTTTTTGGACATCGGAGTATTGGCAATCCGCCAGTTACCCCTTGGCTACTGAACTGTAATTTGATGCATATCTATGCTCAAGTCTCTTTAACCGTTTAATTGTGCGTTTCTTCTTTGGTGAGTTGCACATCTACGCATGCAATCAAATAAATAAATACATCAGTGACGGCGGAGCCATTGAGACAGGTGAGGCTTGAGCCTCACCTAGTTTTCAGTAGATGAGGCTCAGCCTCACCTAGATTTCACAATATGAGACTCAGCCTCATTTGCTTTTGTACTGAATATTGCTATTATCTTGTTCTTGCATCAGAGTAGAAGCAAAGAAAACTAGTTTTCGGTATTTTCCAATCTTCTTTTTTTTTATACTGACCATTTTTATTTTTACTGAAGTTCAATAAAAAGAAGACTTATTTACTACTTGATGTTTCTTAAAATTCCACGGTAGCAAAAAAATATGATGAGCCTCACCTAGCTTAATGACTCTCCGCCGCCCCTGAAATACATATAAAAGCTTTGCTTACAAAGTTAAGAATGAACTTCACAGGAGCATTCCAAGAATATTCTTTTTTGTTGCTTTATAATTTACTTTCTATTATACAGGCAACACCTAACCAAAGAATGTGCAGACACCAAGTTTTTGGTTTGATTTTAATAATGATTACTGTGCACAATAAAAAAAACTACGACAATGGAATCGTTATTATTTTGTTTATCGCTATGCGAAAAGTAGAAAATGTGCATGTGCTAATTCATAATTTAATTGACTGTTTCTCTTTATCGCTGAGACTATCCACATAACAAGTAGTTGAACAAAAGTAACATAATATAATTCATTTTCCATAAATGGAAAAAAGTAGCTATTTTCATTGCAACTTCATCCGCAGTTACTTATATGATTGAATGTATACAAAAAGTGTAGCATTTTGATTGATGCTCATATAAATAACGCAATAAGTCGATATCGTGCACAAATCTTTATCGATGCTCAGCACATTTGACTCTTACACTGTCGTCTGGAATACCATAGATAACAAGAATACAACAAAAGCTTAAGTATGTCTTTCGGAATTCGAATTTTTTTCAACAGTTGTTCATCATAAATACAAGTGTGGATGTTCAGGACGTAGCTTCTCAAAAGAGATTGCTTTTAATTAAGCATGCAACTATTTAAAAGTACCTATGCCTACTTAAAATCGTATAGCTGTTTAATACTATCAATAGTTATTAAGCCTATTATATGCTTACGTAAAATTATGTACATTGATTTTAAATTATCTCCCAAACAAAAAATAATCTTTTAAACTAAGCAAACAGTTGTTTTGTTTTTCTTTCAAAAGAACTACATATCTAACTAAACGTGTATACGATTTACTGTCAGCGGATTTCCTGTCCATTGATCGAATAAATTTTCAATTTAAAATGACGGTTGCTCATCAAATTGGGGGGGTAAAATAGTCATTGATATGCAGGGTCGCCACCTGATGATCGCCCAGTGAAAAATATTACTAAAAAAGAACGGTAAAGAATGCGTTCCAAAAGAACTGAAGCTCTTTTTTTAAGAAAAGAAAACGATCCACAACAAATGGAAACCGTTCTCAAATGGAACGAACTAGAACGCATTTTATCATTCTAAGAAGGTGTTCTTGGTCGTTTCGAAATGGAACAGTGAAGAACGCATTCTGCCACTTGTGGAACGCTTTCTCTTCTTTAAAACGGTTAACCTTTCTGATCACCTGGGTGATCATTAATAGATGAATCTACAATTAGTCAAAAGACTGTTCCTGATGCAACTTGACGAGCTCTATCGAATGGCGTACTCCAATTCGTTGTAACTGAAACCGTTATTAAAATAATAATTTTTCTAAATCAGACCAAATATCCCTAAAGTAAAATCGAATGAAGATTCCATCATTTCTCACATCAATTTCAACCTGCTTTGCTTCAGACCTTTCATTTTAGAATGAAAATGTGGTTTGCTTCGAAAAGAAAGCATTCATCTCTTCAGAGAATCCATTGTCTTAAAGGCTCGTGAGAGAACGTAAAAGGAAGCTATTTTATTTCGATGAAATGCTATGTTAACCGTTCCGAAAGAAAATGAACTAGAATGAATTCTACTGGTTTAAGAATGATACAGAATGCTTTCTCTTCAAATAGGGAACGATTTTTCAGTATAGAAGAAAGTATTCCATACTAGTGTGGAACGGTAAAGAACGAGTTCCTTCAGATCGAGAATATTTCTTTCTGACTCTGAACGCATTCTCTACGTAGGAGATAGGTTTCCATATCCGCATGAAACCATTCTATTCCGTTTTTTTTCGAAATATTTTTCACTGGGGAAGCCCAAAAAGCGGAAAACTGATGTTAAAAAGTGGAAAATAGCGGAAAGAAAAACAGAAAAAGCGGAGGGAAAAGCTGAAGCTTATATTGTTGCGGATTTGTGGTGCTTCTGACAATATTAGACATTTTTTTTTCATATTTATTGGATTTCTTTTTATTTCATCAAAGTTTCAAAACATAAAAGAATGATGGCTCACGGCATTTGTGAACAATAAGAATTGATTTAATAATATCAAATATTATTCTGTACGTAGGTTTGATATGCAACACGTTTTATACAAAAAAGCGGAAAAAGGCGGGACAGCGGTAAAAGGTGGAACAGCGGAAAAAAATTGAAAAAGCGGAAGAGCTGGCAACCCTGTTAATATGACAAAAATTTATAACAAACATACATTAATTTCAAAGAATATAATGTTCTTATTATACTCTTTCTAAAAATGTCTGCTATATTTACTGAATCCAACCATGATAAACGACAATTATGCTACCTCGATTATCAATATTCCATCATTCTTAAAATCTGCTGGACTTAGATATTTTCAGCGTCCACCAAAAATTTGAACATCCATTCATCGTTTTTGGTTTATTTATTAATCAATTCCTTATTCTCTTTGGTATTTCCTCATATATTTGTTTGAATTCTTTTTTTCTAAATATACATGGTTGATTGCGATAAATATTGTTCTATTCATTTCTATTCTTCGAGGCAATCAATGGATAGCACATCCTGTAAACCCTAATTAAATTAGTTTACAGCTATACGTAATCTTTATTATAGCTACTTAATTTTTTTTCATACTTATTAAAAGGTTAAAGGGGGTATTAAAACTAGTACATCGATTTCTAGCATCATAGTATTGTGCAGTTACTTCTTTTTATTGTGTACTCAAAAAGTGAGTAACCTAGATTCGGTCAGTGTGTCCGTCCGGCCGTTAAGACGATAACTCTTGCAAGCCTCATCCAATTGACAAGGAATTTTGTACACAGAATGATCTAATCAATATCTCAGTCGACTTCGAAGATGAGAAGGATCCGTCAAGAAATGGCTGCATTATCGAAGAAATTATCATTTTTGACCAGACCCTCCCTGACGGGGGGGGGGGGGGGGGGGGGGGAGGGGGTTTTAAAAAAAAAAAA